TGTCACGGGAGCCTCCCTCCATGGGCAACGCTTGGGGTTGGCCATCTGCATCCTTGTACTGGACCAGGAAGGAGTCAAAGCTCCCGGTGGAGATGGTCCAATAGAGGCGGACAGAATCGCTTGTGACGTCAAGGACTGAGAGCTCCCCCAGGCTGGGTTGGACAGGAACTACTTCCTCTGGATCTGAAGATGGAGCCAATGCAGATAAAGAGAAGCCAGGATAAGTAAATCGTATAACTCTTCAACAATGCTAAGAAAATTTAAGTAAAGCAGCATGGGTAAGTAAATCAGAGGCTTCATGCAAAGGGCTGTGAGAAATTGCTTCCATATTTCTAAGGAGAAATGAAGAATCCTTATGAAATGGGTTCAGACTGATAGTTCGAAAGGAAGAAACTAATCACAAACGTATCACTGTGCTATAATAGACAATGAGAGGAAAAAAAATAAATAAAAAGACAGCTTAAAAAGTTAATGCTTGGCCAAAAACTGGAAAAACAATAAATGTATGTGATGTGGCTACTTTGGCAGCAGGAGAAGAAACACATACATTCATGACTGAAGAGATTTAAAAAAGTAAAAATGGAGCACAGCATCTGAAAGCTTGCAAGAAACTTCTTCCTGTGGCTGACCTGTGACGGCATCAGCAGAGAGGACACTGGTCTTCTTGCTCCCAGAGACTCCATAGAGGATGAACTTATATCGGTGGGAAGGGGCCAGGTTGGTCACAATCACTTCATGAGAGCCTCCTGGCACAGGCAATAATTGGGGCTGGCCCTTTGCATCCTTGTACTGGACCAGGAAGGAGTCAAAGCTCCCGGTAGGGACAGTCCAGTAGAGTCGGACAGAATTGCTTGTGATATCAAGGATGGAGAGCTCCCCCAGGCTCGGTTGGACGGGAATTGCCTCCTCTGAGTCTGTGGTTTGAGCTAAAACAAGGATATAGAAGTAAAGGTTGGTTAGAATTCCTTGTTGGAGATACAATCCAGCAGCTGGAATGTTTAATAACAATGCTTATTAAAGAAACCAAGAATGTTAATAGATGGTACAAGAGCTGAAAAGCCACAGGCAAGGTGACTCGTGAAGCTGACCTGTGGTGGCATCAGTGGAGAGGGGGCTGGAACGTTTGCGCCCGGAGACTCCATAGAGGTTGAACTTGTATCTGCGGGAAGGAGCCAGGTTGGTCACAGTGATGTCACGGGAGCCTCCCTCCACAGGCAACGCTTGGGGTTGGCCTTCGGCATCCTTGTACTGGACCAGGAAGGAGTCAAAGCTCCCGGTTGGGACAGTCCAATAGAGGCGGACAGAATCTCTTGTGACGTCAACAACTGAGAACTCCCCAAGGCTGGGTTGGACAGGAGTTGCCTCCTCTGAGTCTGTAAGATGGGCTAAGACAGGAAAATGAAAGAAAAGGTTTAGTTACAATAGTCTTGCTGTTCGATATGCAATCCAGAAGCTGGAATATTCAGTAAAAATTGCTGCTTATTAAGAAAACCAAGAAAGTTATTATGAAGTTACAATATTTGAAAAGCCTCCAACCATGCTCGCTCCTGAACCTGACCTGTGGTGGCATCTGTGGAGAGGGGGCCGGACCGTTTGCGCCCAGAGACTCCATAGAGGTTGAACTTGTATCTGCGGGAGGGAACCAGGTTGGTCACAGTGACTTCGTGTGAACCTCCCTCCACGGGCAATGCTTGGGGTTGGCCATCTGCATCCTTGTACTGGACCAGGAAGGAGTCAAAGCTCCCGGTGGGGACAGTCCAATAGAGACGGACAGAATCACTTGTGACGTCAACGACTGAGAACTCCCCCAGGCTGGGTTGGACAGGAACTGTCTCCTCTGTGTCTGTAATTTGAGCTAAAACAGAGAAATGAAAAAAAGGCTTAGCTACAATTTCCCTGGTCTTGGAGATTGCACTGAAGAGGTAGAACAATCAGTAAAAAGGTTGCTTGTTAAGGAAATCAAGGACATTATCATGGAAGAATAATATCTGAAGAACCCCCAGCCACCCTGCTTCCTGAAGCTGACCTGTGGTGGCATCTGTGGAGAGGGGGCTGGAGTGTCTGCGCCCAGAGACGCAGAGACCTCATCCCATTCCAGCACTGAAGATGTTACCTAGCCATGTAATGAAACATTTGCAGGAAAAGAACCAAGTTCAGAGAACCCCAAGGACTCCACAGAAAAGGCTTTGTTACAATTCCCTGAGTTTTGGGGATGCCATCCAAGGAGATAGAATAATCAGTGAAAATACTGCTTGTTAAGGAAATCAAGAATGTTAATATGAAAGAATAATATCTGAAGAGTCCCCAGCCATGCTGACTCCTGAAGCTGACCTGTGGTGGCATCTGTGGAGAGGGGGCTGGATCGTTTGTGCCCGGAGACTCCATAGAGGTTGAACTTGTATCTGCGGGAAGGAACCAGGTTGGTCACAGTCACTTCACGGGAGGGTCCCTCCACGGGCAATGCTTGGGGTTCGCCATCTGCATCCTTGTACTGGACCAGGAAGGAGTCAAAGCTCCCGGTTGGGACAGTCCAATAGAGGCGGACAGAATCACTTGTGACATCAAGGACTGAGAGCTCCCCCAGGCTGGGTTGGACAGGAGTTGCCTCCTCTGCATTTGGAACTGGGGCTAAAAGAAATAGAAAGAATAGGTTATTATAAACTTTGTGCTGGTAAAACTAACTCAGTACTATGTTTGGAACATAGTTCTGTATAGCTTGATCCTGTTGTATTATTGTACATTTTGAGATGACATCAAGAGGTTGATAATATGAAACTTGTCTTCTTTATGTTAAGGATGCGTCTATTGTTCTTGACTTCCTCCACAATCCTAAAATCTATCAAGATTTTGAAAAATGGGGATTATTCAGGTGTATGGATTAGATGCAGCCCT